CTTTTTTTTTCTTATTTAAGAAAAAAATAGAGTATACAATGATTACATAAACAAGATTTTATAATAATAACAACAACTTTACAACTAAAGAAACCATATTTTATAATTTATTTTAGAAAAGAATGCTTCTGCTCTTATTTTAAAGAATTTGAACTTTACAAATTACTTTATTACACTTCTTTTTTATATTTATACAAGAATAATGCAAATTCTAATTTTTTTATTTTTTTTATTTTACTCTTCCTTCCTACTAATTTCTTTATTACCCGAATTTCAAGAATTCTGAGTAGGATGATCTTGCCTTTTACACCATGCTACGTTGCATCTGATCTTAGTCAATCATGTGAGGGTGACATATTAGATATATCGCTGGGTTTAATGTATAAATATACTCTTTTTAAAAATATGTCATATAAAAACTATATTAAAATTATTTACAAAACTTAGATTGAAAAAATATCTTGGCAACCAATTGATCAAATTCAATGAAATTTTTTATTTAATTTACTACAATTCTGCATAATTAAATAAAAAAATCCATCAAATTTAATTGATTGATTGCATTAATTATTATATAATAAATATATTAAACAAAAATAAAGATTTCTGTAAAGTATAAAATGCTATAAAATTTAATGAGTCATGTTATGTGGCTCTTTGACTAACAAAACTTCTTTATAATCGCCGCTATATTAATGTGAGAATATAAAATTAAATAACAGAAATTCATTAAGTTTAATATTCTACTCAAATACTTGGATTTATAAGTCTTCTTATATCATAAACTAAATTAACACGAATCAGATGAAGTTAAGTAGTAAATGTTCATGAAATTTAATAATGGTTTAATAATTTAATTAACAAATAGTTTATAATAAAATATTTTAAATTCATATATAATAGAAAAATTTATGTGAATGCGCAAATTCAGATAGAACTGTGAATGAAACAAGTAAAAGCAAGATCTATGTTATAGTATTTATAGACTTATGCATAATGTAAATACGTATACGCATAAGAAAGCCACACATGATATACAAATATAGAAAAACAAAGTCACAAAGAAAGGTTACCTAGTCAAATGCAAAAGAGATACACCGCTTTAATTTGCCTGTAAACCATACTCTACGTACTTTATACTCCGTTCCAGGTAAAAAAAAAGTCAGGCCTGAATTCCGGAATACTAGGTTATGCAAAATGAAAAATTAACATTGTGTGGACTGTTTCCGAAATATGGTGAAACACTCCGTGTTGATACTGCAATTTACATAAAAAACAGGGGTAAAGAAATCAAAAATTCACGCGTCGTCTTTCATGTGACTCTAAATTTAGTGTCCTAATCCGGAACATATTAATCACATGATTTTTGTAACTAATTAAATAATATCCAGTCATTATCTCATGTCGGATTTAAACGGAAATTTATTGGTCGAACCAAATATGCATAACGATGCAAATCGTTTTTTCTGCGGTTTATATTCAGTTAGACTATTTTCCATAAAAATTCGTTCTTGGCGAAATTATATAAAGTTATTGCACCAACCCAATTTTTTAACGAAACAACTGAACAAAACAAAAATACATGAATGAGGCAAACGAAATAATTATATTGGTAAATTCTTCAGACATCCCTTTGACAGATACGATGGATACGCATAACACCGTTGATTCACATATCGATATACAAAGTTCAAAACCTTTAGAATGGTATTTCCAAGCTTTAAAGGAGGGTCGAATAGTTAAATTTAAATATTCGGAATTTATTAATGTAGAAGAAATCGGACAAGGTAAAATCACCTAACAATAGCTTTATTATTCTATAAGATAATTAAACTTTTTTTTTTTATATATAGGTGGTTACGGAATAGTCTATTCCGCTGATTATGGTGATCAAAAGGTCGCCTTAAAGCGGTTTACTAAAAATAATTCGGTCGAAAGTTTTGCCAATGAGATTAAGCAAATCTATACAGTTAATAATCATGATAATATTAACAGATTTCATGGGATTACTACGGGTATTACGAGTATAATTTTACGCATATTTTTGCATCAGTATATAGAAAGACTATTAATATTCATTCATTTCATAATATAGATCCAGAAATGGGTGATTTCATTATGGTGCTACAATTTGCCCGAGGTGGGAATCTGCGAGATTATTTAAAGCGTCAATGGAATAGTGATGGTTTTAAAATTTCGTTAACCAAGATTATTCAAATTTTGGAGCAAATTGTGCAAGGATTAAACCACCTACACACAAATAACATTATTCATCGTGATTTAGTAAGTAATTATTTCATATATCAATACATTTCATAGCAGGAATTATTTTCATACTGGAATTAGAAATTATTTATTCGTTAGTCACTATTTACAATGTTCTCTATATCAAGATTAGAGATGAGTGACACGTATAACTACAGGTATAACGGTTTATCGGTCTAAATTGTTCAGTGTTCTTCTTTAATCTTCGATATAATTTTTGAATATCTTGACGTAGTAAAGTAATTTGCCAAATCGGCCCTAATCAATACGTGTCATGATTTCAATAGTGACTAACAAAATCTGAGTCGCCTAAATTAAATAGATGGGGTGAGGTAATAATAAATTAAACATGTTTTTTTTTTTTATCTTTTAAATAAAGATAATTAGATAATCTGATAATACCTAGCAACTTAAATGATTTGAATCCAGAGCTCCAAAAAAGAAAAAAAATTCTTTAAAATAATTGTAGTTATTATCTTTAACAGAAAAAAAACTTTATCCATAAATTTTGTGATTAAAAAGCTTTAAATTGTGAAAGTTGTTAGTGTATTAATGAATTTAATTATCTTTGTTTAATATAATTCTTAAAATAATGATCGCGCGATTTCTATTAACTCGCCCCATTTTCAGCAAATGAACGGTACCTATAAATATTATATAATACTATATATTTATTTAAATTATTACTTGCTTTGAAATCAAAAATAATTCCTCAATTATTTAGCATTCTAAAAATATTTTAATAAACGGTGAACGTGTCTTAATTGCGGATTTTGGATTGGCAAGAGAACTGGACTGCATTTCAGCCACTTCAAACATAATAGGGGTACCCGCATATCTTGAACCAAAGGGCCTATGTTTTTTTCAAAAAATTAAACACGATGAAAAATCAGATATTTATAGTTTGGGGGTAATAATGTGGGAACTTACAAGCGGAAAACCTCCGTTTGAGAAATTAAAATTAGAAGAAATCTGCAATAAAATTATAAAGGGCGAACGAGAAGTCATTATTCCTGGTACACCTAAAAGTTATGTCGACCTTTATCAAAAGTGTTGGTCAACTGAACCAGAGCAACGACCAACATTGAAAGAAATTTCAAAATGCCTTGGAGAAATATCCAAAGAGGCGAATAATAAGTTTATAATTGTTGAAAATGATCATCAAGTGCCTCAACGACATCCTTCGTTGCCAGATATATTCCCAAGTTCACCGAACTCAATCGATTCATCTCAGAACTCTGTATATTTCAGTTCACATCCAACACTTCCAATCCAGGTTTTTACTAGTACAACAGACATTATTACTAAAAGTCATGTTGAAAGAATTTCTTCTTGGATTTATGGAAATAATGTTCAGTGTAAACTTAAATTATTGTATATTGGCAATAGAGATCAAGATGGTCTTAAATTTAAGGGCTTTCATGAAAAATGTGATAACGAATCAAGAACCCTAGTGGTCACTCGAATCCGGGCGACCGGTGAAATTATTGGTGGGTACAACCCAATTGAGTGGAAAACAGCACCTCGTAAGTTTGGAATGCCTTCTAGAGAATATGGAAACACTATTGAAGGGTTTATTTTTTCTTTCCAAGGTGAAAGATCAACTTATAGTAAAGTCGAAAATGCTGATAAAGCAATTTATTATAAAGATGGATTTGGACCCTGTTGGGGTAAACATGACCTTTCGCTGAGAAACGATATGGCATATAGCTATAAGTGGTGCTGCAAACAAAAAAATTATAGACGATTGATTAGACTTTCAGCGGGGTCCTTTGATGCTGAAAATTATCAAGTATTTAAAGTAGTTGAAGATAATTAAAATTTAATTTTTATATTAATTTTTACCACGTTCTTTTTTATAATCATGTAATATAAATCCCTATTATAGGTTTCTATATATAGGGTTTATGAAAACATAAAACACTTAAGTGTATTTTATAGTTTTCTATAGTAGTTTATTATGAATCGTTAAAATTTCAACTTATGAAGCTTCAAAATAGTTATTAGGAACTAATAAAGATCCGAATAAGAATAAAATGAATAATTTTCTAATACCTTTAATTCTAAGTTTCAAAAGTTTAAAGTTTTTTGAAATTTATAATATTTTTATTGTGTTTGAAGTCAGCATCTCTATCTGCCCAAAATTACTAACTAATGCGTTCGAGAAAATCTAATTTCAGTGACTAGCTTCAATTAAGTACAACTTCATGTATGATAGCGATATAACCAAAACTATTTATAATGTTCCAACTATGTGATGAATAATATCAGCAATAATAAAAACACAGTAAATACCTAATGGAAATAGTTTGGGACATCCCAAATGGCTACATCACTAGTTTAGAAACTTGATTAATTGAGTTTATTATTTTCTAGTTTTCCATTGTTTCCTAATTACTAAGATTAATGAATAAGCTCTTATGTGAATACAAGTAGTGCTCCGAATTAGACGGGTTAGTCAAAAGCCCGACCCGTTTGGAACACTAGGATTACAATTTCGCTACTTTATGTGCATATAAATTTTATCTATATGTAACTTGCGAAATTGCTTATTACCAATTTGGGATCTTAATCTGTAAATTACCGTTTTAGATGATTATTACAATCTTAACACGATTTTAATGCGCATAGAGTGTCCAGGGGACTGTGGTGCATAATTCTGCTCACTCTAAAATACTTTTAAAATCAAATACAATAGAAGAAAAATATTTTTAAAGTAAGCAGATTTATACACCGCAGTCCCGGGACACTCTAAATGCACTATTAGAATTCAGCATTGGCATTCTATTGTTCTCTTTCATTCTATTGTTCTCTTTCATTCTATTCTATTGTTCTATTGCCAATTTTATATTTAATACATTTAAATTATCATAAGTGACATTTAGTCGTTTAACCTAATAACACATTCAATTATTTGAACCAAAAAATTTTTATATGTAACAAATAATGTTCTATTGATCTATCCGCAAACCAAAATATTTTATTGCCAATTCTGATTAGAATATATTTAAAACTTTCAACATATTGAGTACATAATAGGTTTCTTATCGGAGTTAATCGGTTACCTTTCCGAGATATATTGCTTCGCCAAAATCATCCATCTGACGAACCTTTGGTGATTGACAAAACTCTTGACGATTAATAAAATCCTTGATGAATCAATTTAAAAAAAAAGAAAAGAAAATAGAAAGAAAAAAAAATACCGTTGTATGGTCCATTTTGTTTATATTATAAAAAAAAAGAACAAATGCCATATGTTTTATGATTCTTCATATGTTTGTCGTTAGTCCAGGATTTTAAGTGGTGCATCTAGTTCATTCCGGTCTCTAAAGTCTAGTCCAGGGCTAGTATTGGGTTTGGAAGATTGCGACTCTGTCGCTCCACAATTCAAAATCTCGCGTAACGTACGATAAGTAACCTTTTCGAAAGAGGGTGTTAGAT